ATTCATATATGTATATTAACAGGGCAAATATTTTACATTCATTTTCTAAAACATAGGAAATATTAAAAGTGGCTAATTGTGTGAAACGATAATTAGGAAGCATTTCAATAATTCATTATAAACAAATAATTAACTTACGGTTTTTTAGTAAACTTATTTTTTGAAAACCACCACAGTTATAGAACGGATTCTCTTCGCATCGGCCAAAGCAGTCGTTGATTGGTAAAGGTTTCTCTACTTTGGGAGTGACGTCACTACAGTGACACTCGCTTCTGTTGAATAAAAATAATAATAATAATAATAATAATAATAATAATAATAATAATAATAATACAAGACAACAATACTAACTGTTACTATCGGGGATTTGGGAATTATATCAAAAAGAGTAAGCAAATACGTGGATCAAATTCATGGCAGCCGTAAAATATATGAAATGCAAAAAATCATATCCATGGGTATTTCTCATGACTTGCGCAGTTTTCTCTCTCTACAGTGACCACAATTATATATTTTATTTCTCCCTTATTGCATACCACCTCATTTGTTTCCATCTTCAAATATAAAAAAAAAACTTCTTGTTTCTTGAAGTTTCTGGATGAGACTTGGGTGGGGACAACTCGTACTACACAAAGCTAAAGCAAAACACAACAAAGACAATAATAATAATTATGATGAATATCCAGAAACAATTGAACATCTTCATATCGTATTGCACTGCATTAGCATCCACCGAATATATCATTCGGCGTGACTGGGTGGGGTAATATCTACACAAGAAAATCTGCAACTTTACGTGAAAGAAGCTGTAAGAAATTGTTATGAACACCACACAGATCCGGTTACAGGCGTAAGGTCTCTAAAGATTTTGGGTGACTTTACAATATCCACTGACAAAAAAATTAACGCCAATCAACCAAACATCGTAATCAAAGACCACAAAAACAGAATGTGCTTTCTTATTGACACAGTAGTTCCAACAGACTGTAATGTATCTTTGAAGATTTATCAAAAAAGCTATCAAAATACAAGAATCTTCAAGTGAAAATCTCAAAAAATGTGACGCATGAAGACATCAATAATTCCAGTTATGCTTAGAACCCTGTGTTTGATTAGAAAATGTTCTGAAAGACTCATTGCGTTTTTTTTCTTCTATTTGTGCCGTGTCCCTTCAGGACATTGGTGATCATGGCTCTCCACAATTTCATTTTCGTTTTTAGCTTAATAAAACTTTGTCTTTTTGTTATATCTTCTAAACCCTGTTTCGCCATCTATTTACTCTGACTCACTACGTATGTTACGCATTGTTTTCCGTCTGTCCCTCTTGCCTTCAATCTGTCCTATGAGAATTAGATCCCCTCTTTTCTTATTATATAACCTAGAAACTTCAATTGTCTATTCCTGGTTTTAAGTATAATTGTCCTTTTTTGTTTTTAATTTTCTCTAAAACTTCCTCATTGCTCACATTTTCGGACCATGGTATTCTTAACATTCTTCTGTAGAACCCCATTTCTGTTACTTCAAGTCTCTTCCTCATCTTTGAGGAGATTGTCCAGTATTCACTGCCATATAAGATGACTAACATTACATAACAGTTCAGTACTATTTTCTTTGTTTATAACGAAATATTCCTGTCTCTTAATACTTTGCTTAGGTTTTGGAAGGCATCTTTCACTATTCCACTGTGACTTCGGATTTCAGTGTTGCATTTTCCTTCCCCTCTTAACCCTTTGAGCCCTGCGTTCCTGAACATTTTTAACCCTTCACCCTGGGCTCATGAGTCAAAATTCGTAAATGATTAGTATGTAATATTTCACGGTAGATGTAAAAATAGTTACAAGTGTTTACCCACCGTTCAACCGGCGGCTGGTTATTAAGTCATTTTTCTCTACCACTGTTCAACCGGTAGCTGGGCATTATGTCATTTTTTCTAAGGCTCAAAGAGTTAAAATACTTTTTAGATATTTAAATTTTTGTACTTGTTTAATTTTGGTATCTCCAATCTGTAATTCGCATGTTGGGTTGTTTCTTTTTTGCTGACAACCCTACGTTCTGTCATTTTACAATTGATGTTTAACCATTTCTTCTTTCATTCATAACATTCTGTAGGAGTTCTTATAATTTCCTTTTCTGTGTTGGCTATCAACACTGTCTCATCTGCACTTATACTGTTAAGATTGTGGCTGCCAATAATGAATCCTGGTAGGAATTCTAATTCCCTCAGAATCACCTCACTGTAAAAGATGAATGAGTCCGGTAAGAAGACTCATCCTTGTCTTACTCTCCTTTCTATTTTCGCCGATCTATTGAATTCCTTTTCTATCCGTATGCAAGTAGTTTGCGCCCAGTCCAGATTATTCTAATATCCTTCCCAAATATATCCAGCTTGCCTAGCAGCTCTATAAGTTCATTGCGATGTACTTTATCAAATACACTTGCATAATCTATAAGCCATAGGTATAGATCCTTTTGTATTCGTATCGCTCTTTCTTAATATCGCATGAAATAAAAACATCAGATATTTTAAACATAAGTATATTTATTTGGCCATATAAGTCAAAAACAGAAGCACATTATTCTTTTTTGTTCGTTTTAAAAGCTGACACGTTTTACAGTGGTTAGACGTTCAAATCTGTATGAATGAAAATACAAAATGCAGTCTAAAAATTTTGATACTGCCAAAAAAGAAGATTGTCTTTTTTTTATTTGATAGATGCAAGAAAAGATGACACAGAAAGTCGTAGGCTCACTGGCTAACGAAAGATACCTTCCAAAAGCTAAGCAAAGTATTAAGAAACAGGAAACTGTCATTAGAAACAAAGAAATGAGTGCTGAACGGCTATGTAATATCAACCCTTCTATATGGCCGTGAATGCTGAACACTTTTCTCTCATATAGAGGAAACTTGAGGCAACAGAGATGTGATTCTACAGAAGGATACTGAGAATAACATGAACAGAATATGCGAGCAACGGGGAGGTTGTAAGAAGACAACATAAAGGACGCAAAAAAATCAAAATAGATACAATTGAGCTTTTTGGGAAGTATAAGGAGGAAAGAAGACTTGGAGAATTTGACCCTCACAGGACATACTGAAGGTCATAGAGAAAAACAGCGAGTAATCTACCTAACGAGAGTGTAAATGGATGATGGAACAGGGACTGAGATATAGTAAGTGAAGAAACATTGCTTAAAGCTACAAAAGATAGGAAGTTGCGAAGAGCCATTGTCGTCCATGTACTGAAGTGACACAGCACACAAAAGAAGAAGGAATGATATCAGTTGAACCAATTGGCTGTAGAAGGCCTCAAAGTTTGTGATCAGAGTGTGATTTTCACTTAAAACCATAACAAAGGTATGTAAATGTTATTCTAATTAGCCATTTACTTAGCGTAGCTTAGATGTGGCGCAAGGTCGAAAGTTGTAGAGCACTCATGACTATCGAACTCACTACTCGATTGTAATTGTCCTTGCGAGATAAGCTTGCTAGCCATAACCTCACGCCAAAGTACCCAAAATGATTTGCTCAGCGTAGTTTAGATGTGGCGCAAGTTCGAAAGATGTGGAGCACCTACTGAGGATCGAACTCACTATTCAGTCGTAATTGATCTAACGAGACAAGCTTGTTAACCATTACATAACGTCAAAGTACCCAAATGATTTTTTAATCGTAGCTGAAAGTGTGGAGCACCCAATGAGGATAGAACTTACTACTCAGTCGTAATTGAACCAACGCGATAAGCTTGTTAACCATTACACCACGTCGAAGTGACCAAATGTTATTCTAATTATACGAGCGTTTAGCAAACTGTACATACTTGTCTGGTTTCTGCTTAACGGCCTTTCGATTACTATAGGGTTATTTAATGTCATATAATGGTTTTGAAATGTGATTGTCTTTGGTATAGCTTGATGTTATACAGTCAACGACGAAATTATTGATACACACATCAATTTTGAATATTTTTATCCATTTTTCATAATCTAATGCTCGTATAATGTCAGGTTTTTATATGTTAATAAGCACAAAAAAGGAATATAAAACTCAATTTTCAGAACAATAGGTTAAATACAACAAATTTGCTAGGTAAGTAGGTGAGTGTTATGACATGACCTCAACCACATAGAAAACTTATGGAGCATGTTGCTCAACTGCTTTCTCGAGAGCCTGTACTTTATAATGCTCCATAAGTTTTCTATGGGGTTGAGGTCAGGAGATTGGGGCGGCCATGTCACAACACTCACCTGCTTCTCATCAAAGTATTCCTTCATCAATTTTTGTTTGTGACAGGGAGCATTATGCTGCATAAAAATGAGCTTGGTGGGGTTGATTTTCACCCTTTCAGCAGAAGGGAGCAGACAAGACTCTAAAAGTCTCTTGTACTGCTTGCTCCTGAGGGTCTTTTCAATAGGTTTTAAGAAACCAGTTCCATGAAAAGAAAAGCATCCCCAGAACATTATACTGAACGGATGCTTGACAGTACTTACTGGTAACTTCAAAGAGCTTTCAAAGCGTCTTCCTCGGATTTTAGATCGCTTATCCTTTGAATTTAGCTCAAATTTCGTTTCATCGGAGAAGAGAACATTTAGTAAAAAGAATCAGGTGAGTCACTTTTATCGAACAGCACTATATATATATATATATATATATATATATATATATATAAATTTCGTATATTTTAGCAACATGTTTTCATTGAGACACGTTTCATTAAATAAGTTAAACGAGTTTTGTCTACTTATTTTCAATTAGATCCTTTCAGATTCACGGACAAGCTTTTTGGTGTCATTATTAAAGGAAGAGATGAGTAAAAAAAATGTAACTTTCAGATGAACACAGCAATTTTGCCTTTGAAAATGATGAACACTACAATTATTTATCTCGAAATAAACAACACCCTGATGATGACATTATGCTATGTCGAAGGTGCTCGGAATAATATAATATATATCAACACGGTAATTTTCTCTCTTCCTTTAATAGTGACAACAAAAATCGTGTCCGTGAATATGAAAGCATCCAAGTGAAAATAAGCAGACAAAACTTGTTTAAATTATTCAATGAAACAGGTCTCAATATATGTGTGAATGTGTGTGCGTTAGAGACATAGAGAGAATCGTATAATCTTAGTCTCACTAGAAATCCATGATTACTTAAAACATGCCTATTTCGTTTCAGCAGGCCTGTAGTAAAAAGTAAAAGACTATCGTTTACCAAAGGTTTTACTGTTCCTATCAGTGAGGAACCAACACTGATAAGAAAGAAAGAAAGAAAGAAAGAAAGAAAGAAAGAAAGAAAGAAAGAAAGAAAAAGGAAAGAAAGAAATCATGATGATAGACAATCGTCCAGGCTATTTACTGATTTTTTATGGAAACTGTACAACCAGAAGATTATATATATATATATATATATATATATATATATATATATATATATATAAAATAATTAAAAGACTTAATTAGTCATCATATAATCGGTTATAAATTTATTTCAACAGTTAATGTAGTCGGTCAGATATATATATATATATATATATATATATATATATATATATATGCATAACTTTGAAATAAATTTATAACCGATTATATTATGACTAATTAAGTTTTTTCCTTATTTATTTATATTGCTCTGCATATAAATTTATACACTTTTATAACTTTTTAATATTTTTATATTAAAAAGACCTCATTAATGTAATCCCTACCACCTATGCAGTTAGTATTACTTATATAATATTATTATATAGTAATACCAACAAATACCTATATATATATATATATATATATATATATATATATATATATATATATATATATATATATATATATATATATACAGAGAAAGACTTAAAATCTTAGTTTAATTTGAAATTCATCTTTATCCTACTCCAAAACTGCTTAGCTTTTATTAGACTCGTCAGCTATCAGCGGGCCTGGTATATTAGATTTCCGTGGTGTAGTGAAAAGTCAACAACAATAACGTTCATTGTACATAATGTTCAACTAACCTAATAATGATGCCGGCAAACTGATAAGCGTGATTCTCACAATGTTCAATGCATTCATTGTAGTCATTGGTGACGGGTATTGTTAGCGACTGATAACCTCTAATTTCTTCAATGGTGCCAGTGTAACGATAACAACCGAGAAGACCTGCAAGAGGAAGCAAGCAAAATATGATGTTAAAACAATTAATCGAAATTGGTAATAGATAAGGAGGTACTGAAAGGTTTGTGACCCAATCTACTTCCAAAAATCTGTATTTCAATGTCCATTCACTTTTTTCCTTTTCCTTATTCAGTTCTATTTCATCATTAACGAATTTGCAAATCATCCCTTCAAAATTTTAAAATAAGTTTTAATTTTTTTAATTACTATTTCACTAAATATTTTTACTTTACGTATTTATTTTAGTTTGGGTCATACTTCAGTTAATTAATTTTTTGTTTTAGTAAACTTAAGAACCTAAAGACGAAACGCAAATTTCATAAAGCATCTTGAAACCTAACTAAAAGTCAATAAAATATTAAATAATTGCTGAAAATATGTTAATTTGTAAAAATTACTAGGTAGTTAAAAACTAAAAAAAAAAATGCGTTTACTGAGATTTCGTAAATTTATGATAATTATGGTCATCCATAAGAGCTGTCATTTTCCTCGGAATTTATCGATACGTCAATAAAGATCAAAGAAAAACAAGACCCATGGTTAAGGAATGCTTGCATGTTATTTTTTTATGCTATAAATAAGTAATATTTATTTCAAATCAGATTAATTTAAGTTTTCTAATTTTACTCAAATAACGTGTCAGAAATATGTATTTTATTTTTGGAAGATTTTTAAAACCGATAATTTTGTTTTGTTTACAAATTTCTTAAAATTAAGAAAATGGCCGCTTTTAGGAATTTTTTTTAAAAAATCGAGCAAATATTTAACATTTCAATCTGTATAATTTAAATCTGAAATGCGCCAGAATATTTTACTTACTGAAAATAATAGATTTAATCATTTAGCTTCCAATTAAAGCTAAAATGAAATCTTTAAGAATGCTTTTTCATTTTTAAAAATTCATTTTAAAACTTAGGTATCGAAAATTCAGTGGAGGTGCCTATTATATATATATATATACACACACACACACACATATATATATATATATATATATATATATATATATATATATATATATATATATATATATATATATATATATATATATATATATATATGGGGTGGCATTTAGGCAGCAAGAATTTTATTAAATTCCATAATTAAATTATGTCTATTCAACTTTTTCTTTTACCTCTCCAGTTTCCGCATAAGATGTACATCGGGATTGAAGTTAAGAATAAATTGTATAAAATTTATATTTTTTTCTTCTGTTATATTGAAGTACCTTCGACTATCACAGTCATTGTCAAGAACTAGACTAACCACACATGATTTGATTATAGTGGTGAAGACTTGTTTGGAATCAGTCACACTTTCTGAAAGGACTAATAACAGAGGAATGGGGTACAGAGTTCCATGAAATTTCCAAACAACCCCCCTCAAGTTTGAATTCAGAGTTTTCCTTCTCCTGACCTGCTGGGCGACCGAAATTGAGCCAGACCTTTTTGCGAAAGTGAATGTGATGAACTCGACCGGATTTCGAACACGTCGATTTCTTTTTTCGAGCCACTTTCACTCACTCTCTCTCTCTCTCTCTATCTATATATATATATATATATATATATATATAGAGAGAGAGAGAGAGAGATAGATACATTTGAGTGTGTGTCCGTATGATTGTGTGTCTGTGTGCGTGTTTTATTAAAAAGTATAGCAATTTTATGTCTATTAAATTAAATATAACCATCCTTTTTTCTAATTTGGGGATGATCTTTTCCAAAACTGAATGCTGAAGATGTACGTAATTTCAAAAATCAACATACATAATTGCTGTGTCTGTCTGTCTATATTTCTGAGATGAGGTATTATGTACATTATTTACATTATTCGGACTATTGTCTTCATCTTTGTCGCCATATTTATCACAACGTTTCGGCCATTGTACGCTCCAGCCTTCTTCGTTGGAATGTCGAACTGAACCCTTTATTTCGCTCACTGGGGTAGACTGTTCTAGTTCCACGAGCCATGTTTGATGGATGTCAGTCATCCGTTATCTGAAAGTTCTCCACTGGCTTAACCAGGTATTGAACTCACATTCTTTGGGTCCTGTCACTGGATCTAACCAACGCCTTTATCCTTGAGGACATCTGGGTATGAATTTCTGGGTATTATAAACCTAATGTCATCAGCAACCATTTTTACCAGTGCTCATATTGCAATTTTGCTGTTATCATTACATATTTTTACCAGAGCTCATATAGCAACTTTGTTGTTGTCACTGCTTTTCTCTGGCACTCCTTATTACTGGTTCCCATATTGTATTTATGAGAAGATAATGTAAATAATGATGAGAAGATAATGTAAATAATGTGCTGTGTCTGTGTCATGATTTTCTCCACCTTATTTTACATGTGTACTTATTGCTAATGACGATCATAATTCACTAACTACATCCCCTGACGATGACTTATATGAGTTGAAAGCTCGGATACGGCAATTATATTCATTTTAGAAATTTAATATAATATGTCCATAATTTTTAATAGAACATATTTAAAGGAACAATTGGTGTCTAATCCCTATACAAGATTAATACACACACACAAACACACACACACACATATATATTGAAACAGACTAAGTCCGACAATTATTTTAATATATTTTCTGTTTATACATTATTTTTATACATACAAATATTTAAGAAAATGCTCTGTTTATAATAAACAACATTTACCGGCCTGAACGACCAAGAAATTTCATAGAAAATATGTGTCGTCCGACAACAATCGAACCTGTATCTTACACGGAACCATCATTTGGCCTTACGTGCTATACCATTTAGTCAAACTTTGATACATATATATATATATATATATATATATATATATATATATATATATATATATATATCGCACATAGAGTGTTGGTGTTAATAAAACACTGTTCGATATAATATAATAGAGCTATTAAATATATATTAATAAATATTATCCCTCACCGGTAGCACAACTCGGAATTTCATGCGCAACGCAATCTTCAGCTGCTGGGTATATATATATATATATATATATATATATATATATATATATATACAAGCAGCATGGCCCGGCGTTGTCCGTGCTTGATTCAAAAATCGTACGACTCATACAGCAATCGCTATCACTTGACTTAAAATATTTTTGCCCTTCCTTGCCTTTAAAGGAGTGCACTTTTCCGTGCTGATGTTGCTACATGCCTTACTTCTTGCCTATCTCACACTGCGAATTTTTTCTAAGCTCTATACTTAACATTAAATCTCTTACGAAAAAGGAACTAAACAAAATGAACACAAAACGATCAGCTTTAAAAAAGGACTCGTAACTGGAAAAACCGAATAAAAAAAGAATGTTAACAACAAATACTTTTTCACGCCCAACCCGTTGAGTTTAAGCAAGCGAATGAGCCAATTGGAGTAAAGTGCCATGCAGATTTAAATTTTTCCCACTTGTGACGAATGCAGTTATCAATTTTTGCATGCTAGCAACAAGTTTTTTCTTACGCTGGCAATATAATCTACTTGCCTGCTAGTTAAAGCATGAAAAATCGATTATTCAATGGAGTCAGTCACACACACACACACACACACACACACATCCATCCATCCATCCATCCATCCATCCATCCCTTTTTTATATATATATATATATATATATATATATATATATATTATAAATTAATTGATTTAAAAAATATCTTTTTTTCCCACGCTGGTTTCAAAAATAATAAAATTTTATTTTTTTAAATAAATTAAAAGCATTAGTTCTATTTCATCTTCATTCGAATTTTGGAAACTTTTTAAAATTTACCTTTTAAATACAGCTAAAAATCATTTTCCATGGTTACAGAATATTCTATTTGAACACGGGTGTCTAGATTTTCCTTATGACAGTATCATTGTATCTTTCATTTGCAGAAAAATGGATGTCGTCTTTTAAAAAAAAAAAAAAAAAAAAAAAAAAAAATTGTTAACGGTAAAAATTTTCCGTCATCTTTTAAAATTAAAGATTTTTTTAATACTTTTTTATTTAAAAACGATTTGAAATATTTTCCTTTTTAATTTTATTTTACTATATTCTTTTTTAAGAACAGTTAAATGTATTAGAATCCATTATATTATGTAGGATTATTTTAACATTAAGTTTAAGTATGTATATGAGGTTACATTTTTTTTTTTTTTTTTTTTTTATATGACTATAACAGCAGAAATATTACTTAATTTCACTGATTCAAAATATATAAAACCTATTATTATAATATTTCACATGTAGTCTTGAGGACATGGGTCATTCAAAGCTTATATGTTATGGTGTTTCATATTAATTTTATTTTACTATAGGTGTTATTTTTTTGGATTCAAATGCAATTTAACTCCAAATTCAAAATTACAACTTTTAAAATTTTAAAATATTTTCATTGTTTAGTTTTAATAGACTATATTACAACAGAAGGAAAATTACTCATATTAAGTAAGATTATTTTCCATATCAAAGTATATGTTTATTTATTTATTTTTTATTTATTTATTTTTTTTTTTTTTTTTATTCTCTTTAAATTTAAATATTATTAAGTAATATTAATGGCACATTATTTCCAATATGTAACCTAATTAATAAAGTCATGTATAACATGTTAGAATTCATTTTATTTTACTACTTTAATTTCATTTTAAAATTTTAAAATTATAACTTTAAAATTTTAAAATATTTTCATTGTTAGTTTTAATTTAGATATATTATAATAACAGAAGGATAATTACTCATAATAGTAAGTAAAAATTTTTTTCCTATCAAAGCATATGTAAATTACAATTTTAAAATTTTAATTTAGATATTATTTATATTAATGGCCCAGACTACAAAACTATCTAAGTCATTTCTCAGAATTAGTAAACTTTATGTATTAATTCAAGTTTAAGTATGTATATGAGGTTACATTTTTTTTTTTTTTTTTTTTTTTTTATATATATATAAATATAGTGATATAATGTTTTCATGTAAGTACAAAAGGACATGGGTCATTCAAAAGCTTACATCTTATGGCATTTCATATTAATTTTATTTACTATATTTGCTTTTTGGGATTCTTTTTAGTGCGTGTAGTATTATTTAAAAGAAACTTAGTTAGAATTCATTCAATTTAACTTTAATTTTAGTTTCAATTTTAAAATTACAAACTTTAAACTTTTGAAATATTTTCATTGTTAGTTATATTAGACTATATTACTTTATAACAGAAGGAATATTACTCATAGTAAGTAAAATTATTTTCGATATCCAAGTATATGTAAATTACAATTTTAAACCTTTATATTTTAAAATATTATTTTAGTAATATTAATGGAACTTACTAAAAATTAGCAAGTCATTTCTCGATTTAGTAAACTTTATTTATTACTTAATTTATTTATTTATTTTAAATATATGGTATAAATTTCATATGTATGTAGAGAAGAACAGGTTAGATTCATTTTATTTAACTACAATTTTAATTACAATTTTAAAATTACCACATTAAAATTTTAAAATATTTTTTTGTTAGTTTTAATTTTCTATATTACTTTATAACAGAAGGATAATTACTCATAGTAAGTATAATTATTTTATATAACAAAGTATATGTAAATTACAATTTTTCAACTATTATATTTAAATATTTAAGTAATATAAATGGCACAGACTACAAAACTATCTAAGTCATTTCTCAGATTGAGCACTATTTTGTAAAATAAAATATCTATAAGAACACCGATTTTATATCTTATTGTTCTTTCTTTTATTTATATACATATATATATATATATATATATATATATATATATATATATATATATATATATATATATATATATATATAAAAGGATGTGTGTGTGCGTGTGTGTATATATATATATATATATATATAAAAGGCAGGATGTGTGTGTGTGTGCATGTGTAAGGCAGGATGTGTGTGTGTGCGTGTGCGCGTGTGTATGTATATATATATATATATATATACCCAGAGATAAGACATAGATTTTTTTTTTTTTAACTTTTTTTCTTTCTCCATTCGTTAACATGATTTGATGATTTCGGTGTTTCCCCATCGATTGTAGTGTCATGGTATTTTGGAGTTATGTCCCCTTTACTATAACATTCAGGTCTGTCTGATGGCTTTTAAAGTTTTATCATTTGGTCTCATGTGAATCTCTACAACTGCCCTATCTATTTTGCATTGAAAAAAAACAAAAAAGAAAAAAATGCGTATAATTTTAAAAAATGATCATCGATTAAGATCATGTTTTATAATAGAAAATTAAGCTTACCTTGACGATTCAGTTTTCTTTGAGCAATTATTAAAAAAGACATATTCAGTATTATCAGTAAAACAATCTCTCCGCAACACATTGGAAACTTTTTTCACCGCGTACTCTTCCATTATACAAAACCCTAGTACACGCTCGCATCTGATAAAGAAATAACGGTCATGGCGTCTGCAATGTTGAAAGGTGACGTCATCTCTAAGTTGCTTTTCAACCAATCGACTTGCGTCGTTTCATCGTCATTTTCAGAGATGTTCTCCCATTGCGTAAGACTTATTGTCAATACTGTGGAGAAATGTCGCTATATTTTTTTAATTGATATCACCCCATGCAAGGCAGTAAAGCCACTAAGAACACAAGGGTTTGCAGAGTGTGGAAGAATTAGGAACAGAAACATTAATAATGAGTAGAAAGAGGAAAGAGCAATCAAGACGACAGTAGATAGCGATTGACATTGCATTTAAATTTTGCAGATTAAAGTTGGCTGGGAAGTATAGAGCCAGAATGGAGTTCCACAAGCGAGATATATTTGGCAAAGATATTAGAATAATCAAGAACCTATACTGGCAGCAAACGGTCTACAAAGAAAATGAGTTCATCAGATATACAAAAATAGAAAGGGGCATAAGGCAAGAATATGTCTTCTCACCGGACTTATTCAACCTATACAGTGAGGCAATTCTGAGAGAACTAGAAATCCTGCCAGGATTTATCATTGGCGGCCACAATCTTAACAACATAAGATACGCAGAGGATACAGTGCTGATAGCAGATATGGGAAGGAAATTACAAAACCTCTTACAGAAGGTAGCGAAGGAGAGCGAGAAAAAGGGACTAAGCATAAACTTATCGGAGTTACCTTTCCCGTACACTATGTTAGTAATTATTACGGGAGGTTACTAATATCGGACTCGACCGGTAAACACGCAACGCCTGCACTGGACCTGTGACATGCCCGAACAACGCCAGCTCTTCTTTCCTTCCCAACACGTCAAGTTGGCATCCCGGCCGAGACCAACATCAACTGCAACAATCAACAGCGATGATCCTGGCAACAACCCACATCAGCTTCAACTGCAACAACCAACAGCGATCATCCCTGCAACGACCATCATCAACTTCAACTACAGCGATCATCTCTGCAGCGACCACCTGTATGACCAACAGCGATCACCTGTAACGACCATCCTCGACCATCAATGCCTGCACTAGAACTTCTGCACCTCCACCGTTCCGACCAGTTTATTTTTTCTTTTCTAGAATAAATCAGCATACATATCCTCGTTCTGTCGTCTATATTGTTACACCTTGTCGGATTTAACGTCTTCAAAAATGTTAGCGGGCCTCTTGTGACCTCATTCACCCTTTTGTGATACGGGGTCGCTCGGGGGATCCGCTACAAACTACAAGATGACGGAATGCATAGTCATCAGTAAATAGATGAGACCGAAATGCGATTTACAAGTCGGAGGCACTAAAATCAAGCAGGTGCGAAAATTTAAATATCTGGTCAAGTGTTCTGACAGAGGACGGTAAGTGCGACGCTGAGATCCGAAGACGTACTGGGATGGCCAAAGATGCATTCCAAAAGCTAGGCAGAGTATTACAAGACAGGAGGGTTTCGTTGATAACAAAGAAAAGAGTACTGAACTGCTACGTTATATCTGTCCTTAGCGAATGTTGGACGGTTTCCTCAAAGATGAAGAAGAGACTCGAGGCAACAGAGGTATGGTTCTACAGTAGGATGCTAAGGATACCATGGACCGAACATGTTACCAACGATTAAGTTTTGGAGAGGATGTAAACAAGGAGGAAGCTTATACTTAACATCAGGAAGAGGCAGCTGAAGTGTCTGGGACACATAATGAGAAAGGAAGGCTTGGAGAGTTTAATACTCACGGGGCGGATAGAGGGAAAGAACGACAAGGGAAAGCAACGCGTGACATACTTGGCGGGCTAAAGCAAGTGGATGGCAGAACAGGGTCTGGGAGAAGTAGCAAAAGCACAAAACATATTGAAAACTACAAAGGATAGGAAGAAGTGAAGAGCCATGATCGCCTACGTCCTGAAAGGACACGGCACGTAAAAGAAAAAGAATTTTAGTCGACAAACTAGTAAAAATATAATTATGTAAAGGGAAGTAACTACAAATTTTCCAATGAGTTGCCTCCCTTGGATTACTCTTGAGATTTCTATATAACTACATGTGATGAACATATTGCTTTAAAATTTCTACTCAAAAGAACGCTACCTATTGAAAATATTAAAATATCCAATTGTATCATGTATTTTAATGTCGTCTATTTTAACGCCAATTCAACTTTGATGGAGATATGCAGTTAGGCTACAATTATTTTTATTTTGCTAGTTTTCCTCCATTTTATTGCTTTTTATCCAAGTATCGTTTTTGGATTGATACACACTTCATCGTTACTATCATTTTATTAATGTTTTAAAGCATATTATTATTGTTGTTTCTCCTCACAACATTCTGAATTGATGTATTCTTTGACTGCTGGAGTAAACAGTGAGAAATCCTGATAAAATGTAACAACAGCATCCACATTGCTATTGGAAGTGAGGGAGCTGACACTGAAAATAAGAAGTAAACTGAAGATTTTTTTTAGCATTTCCTCCCAAGCAAGGTGATAAAGCCACTAAGATGCAAAGGGTTATTGAGAGTGAAAGAGTCTGGAAACAAAAAATTAATAGTGAGGACAATGAAAGAACAGAATTAAAGGAGATAAAAAATGATTGACATTGCATTTAAATTTTTGTAGATCAAAGTTGACTGGAGAGTAAGAAGCCAGAAGAGAGTTCCACAAGCGAAACGTGCTATAGAAGAAACTGTTAGCATAGAACTTACTGTTGTATGTAGCCATTTAAACTGTAATAATATGATGAGACCTAACTGTCAGTATAGTACTGCACTTAAATTCATAAAGTCTGCATATGATAGAGGAAAGTTCATCAGAACAATTACCATGAACATATTTATAAAAAAGTCACAGGGAGGCTATGTTACGGCAGTAAGAAATTGACTGAAGTCGGGAAGCTTGGCCAAGATCAATAACATTGCAGATTCTTTGTATTTTATCAAGAAAAATTGTTAAAAAATAAATGACACAGTTTGATTGAGTGTTTTGTTTTTTACATCTTTTGCACATTATTTGAAGCCAGAAAATATTTTAGGTTGTAAGACCTTTTTGGAGATGATAATGATTTGTTGTTACAAGTCCTACTAATTAACACATAGCTGGGGGTCGAAGAGGTGGACATATACCTTTATATATTATTTCTAGCCATTTCAACTGTAAGATGATGAGGCCTAGTTGTCAATATCGTACTGTGCTTAAATTCATGAAGTCAAGGTACCAAAAAGGAAAGCTTATCAGAACAATTACCATGAAAATATTTATAAAGGCACAGGGAAGCTATGTTATAAAATTTGTCTCCTTGTCCTATATATTTCAACAGTCTATTGCACTAAGTTCTATACTTTTCTAAAATCATTACTGCCATTAAATGTTGGTTCCAATCTTGTATGGGAATGACTGCAAAACACTTTCTCCTCTCTGATTTATAGGTAGAAATACACAAATGCATGCTGGGATTTCTTCCTAGTGAATAAAATTGGCCAGTTCTCAGTTTTATATAATTCAGTCCTGGTCTGTCTTGCCTTGAAGTTAGAAAGCTACATTCATTTATCCAAATTTACTCTTGTGTGTCAACCCCAATTCTTGGTTTGTGAACTTTTTGCAATATTACTGTTGCTTTGCCTTATTACTGTTAATTTGCCTTGCATATGTTGTTTGCTTGCTTAATATTATTTTTGCCCTGTTCTTAGCTTTTCCTTGTTTTTGTTATTGTTTATTGCAAACTTTGTTAATTCTGTTTGTTGGGCAGTTCTGCTATTTATTTACATTTAATCATGGTCACTCACTCTACAAGTTTGTAAGAATATTTTTATGATAATTTTTCTGATGAACTTTCCCCTTGACTTTACGAATTTAAACACAGTACTAGATTGGCCATTAGGTCTCATCCTTTTCAGTTGAAATAGCTAGATGCAGATTTCTAATTCCTGTTCTTTTATTGTTCCCTCTCTTTAATAATTTTTTTTTTATATTCTTCCACATTCAGTAACCCTTTGAATTTCAGTTGCTTTCTTGCCTTGCTTTTTTTTCTTGCTTGCAGGGAAATGATTAAAGATAAATAAATCAAAAAACTTAATTTTTCATAAAAGTCTTATTTTTATATAAGTTTTATATTCAATAAATCAGTAAAACATTTGGCAATGTTTAAACTTCATGCTTGCAAAAACTCATGTGTCAAAAGGACAGTTATTCCTTTGATGTTGCTATTACAACATTTTTTTTTACTCCCTGAGAAATGTTTATTTACAAGATTATAAAAATATGTGAACCAATTACAATGCAATATTTATTACTTATCTTCTATAATGAAATATTATTTACCATAAAGAAACAAATTTGAAAAGAAATCTTTTCTATTCAAAAATTTATTGGGGTCAACTTGATGTGGGTAGTATGACGTTTAAAAGACCCAAAACTGCCCAATGATCCAAATCAGAACATCACTGACAACACTCTCTAGCGCTAAAGAGCTTATATTCAAAGTAAAAAATTACAAAATTATCAAAATATGTAAACAAACAAAAATACAATATTTGTGGTAAAAATTACAGTCATTCTGTGATTAAACACAAGGAAAATTTTGTCCATCCAATGAATAGGAAGATATACATGCAAAATATTAAGTGCTTGTGGTCTTGCTTAAAATCTAAAATTAAAATAAGAGGAAGAGATACTCTCAACCTACTTTAGTGAATTTATGTGGCAAGAGCAAATGAAAGAAAAGTTTGGAAATGGATATTTTTTTCAAAATTTATAATTACAATTGCATGTCAGTATGTGTTTATTTAAATTTTCTTGTTCACATACTTTTATAAATTTATAACTATAAAAAATTATTTTCATATTTATTTCTTTATAAAATGTTAAATAATAAATATTTCATTCTAGT